ATATATATATAAATCTGTCTTGTTTTGGTTTGAAACAGAATAACCAAAGAATGAGCCATACATGGACTATACAAGTAATTGTGCTTTTAAATCAAAAACTATGACCTATTAAAAAGCTTCTGATTACTCATAGGTTTATCTCAATCATGCCTGTCAAGAGAAGACCTGGATCATTTACCTGTTTCTACTTTGTTGATCCTGGTGGGCTGCTTGCAAGGGAGGTAAGGGCAAGAACTCCCCCAAGCCTAAAGACTCGTGACTGTTGTCCGGATGGAGAGGCAGGGCTGTAGGTATGGGATTGTGACCTGCCTCTGCGTCATCCAGTGATGCTTTACTGTTGGACAGGGAGCGCAGTGGGGGCAGACGCAACTTAAAGCCACGGGGGCGACCTGAAGAGAAGGAGGTGGACAGACGGAGAGTAACACTGTTGACCTGCAGTGTGACACGCTGGATAACCTACAGCAAGTGGTGCAGGTCATAATCAGAGAGTGGTAGATGTGAAAAGGGTCAAGCTTCCAGTAAAAATGCTTAGCTTTTGGCTACAGCCACAAAGTAACAAACAAAACAAAACAGAGAGAGCTGAAAGTGGCTGGTTATTTCAAGTATGGTAAACGTTAATTTGACAAAAATCAAACTGAATGGCAGATACAAAATTTGGTTTGCAAAAAATGATCTGCAGTTAAATATTACCCAATTGTGTTACTGAAATAACATTTAGCTACCTGTAACAAGCCAGGTGGGGAGGCGATGATTCAGCTGTCGTTTGTGATCTTTCCGTACTTCATCAGTCATGACCTCAAAGTTCAAGATGAACATGATCACCACGCCATCCTCGTTCTTCACTGGCACCACATCCACCATGCACAGGAAACACTGACCTGCAGGGAGAATAATGAAGACCCTCATACTGCTGGTGTCGATTTGTAATCATCAAGAACATAGCAAATGCAAAAAATATCAAATAAAAAAATGCACCTGGACTTTTAGACTTTAGTTCAAGTGGTTTTACTTTCCAGTCAGAGAACTGTCTTTAAGCTATGTGAGATGCTCCATTTGGCAGGCTAGATTTCCATGCAGATTAAACTCACTCCCCTTCAAGTACAGAATTACTGGGTCTTTGTTTGCAAGGCTCACAAGAAAGATGCTTTGGTAACCCTCCAATTCACACCTTCATGCATGTGACCAAAATGAGTCTCTTTTGACACAGGCAAACAAAGACCCTGACAACTCACTGTTGGGAGGTCATCAGTCTGAGAGGGGTTAAAGGTAATTTTCAAACATATTGGGTCTTTTCTATAGAGAAAATGATTATTCACAAGTGTAAATCATTCAAAACATCTGCTTCTGTTCCTAGGAGTAAACATCCCAGCAAATTCCCCCCAAGACTATGTAATTTTCACACAAAAATCTAAACTAAAACCAAAGAACCCCACTTCAGACTCTAAGTGTAAAGCAATTTGGGGTCCGGAGGGACTTGATAAAGCGCTATATAAGTTCAATCCATTTACCAGTGGACAAATGTTCTTCCATAATGCACATTCCCCATGTTTCGTGAAAACCAGTCAAATGATACTAGCACAAATACCTCTGACTGTTCAGTATGGTGGTTAGGAGCTGGCAGTTTGGGCATACTGTATATTGCAACTACGAGACCAAAGTCCTGCATGTCCTAGATCAAACAATTAAATGACCTACTCAGACTGTCATCAGGTTTAGCAGAAGCCTGCTTATCACTCTTTCATTCCAGTCAGGTGTGTTGAAGGGAAACATCTAAAACATGCAGGACAGTGGGTCATGAGGAACAGGTTTGGGGACATCTGTTCTACAGTCAAATGTGATGCCATTTGTCAGTTGAAGCTTGGCCAAAACCAAGCATAAAACAGGACAATGAGCCCAAATACAGCAGCAAATTTACAACAGAACTGAAAATATAAAAAAAATAAACTTTAAGTAAAAGTCCAGCTCTAAATCCAAATGAAAGGCTAAAGAGAGGAATGCAGAAACAAATGTCTGCAAACCTCAACGAAATGAAGCATCCCTGAAAAGAAGAGTGGGTCAAAATTCCTCCACAACTACATGAGAGATGGATAAAGTCATACAGAAATCCACAACTGAGAGTTAAATTCATTCCATCTATCTTCTGCTTATCCAGGGTTGGGTCGCGGGGGCAGCAGCCTAAGCAGAGAGGCCCAGACTTCCCTCTCCCCCAACCACTTTTCCTAGCCCCTCCAGGAGGAATGCCAAGGTGTTCCTAGGCCAGCAGAGAAACATAATCCCTTCAGCCTGTCCTGGGTCTTCCTCTTGGTCTCCTCCCAGTGGGTTGTGCACAGAACCCTACATCAGGGAGGTATCAAGGAAGCATCCTAACCAGATGCCCAAGCTACCTCAACTGGCTCTTCTTGGCGCAAAGGAGCAGCAGCTCTACTCTGAGTCCCTCCTGGATGATCAAGCTTCTCACACCATCTCTCACTTGTTTGGTTTGGTTTGGATTGGTGCTGCGTCTGCAGAAATGGGAATGCTGTACCAATGGGTCATGGTGAAGCGAGATTTACTGGTCAATCTATGTACTTGCCCTCATCTATGGTTACGAGCTTTGGGTAGTGACTGAAAGAACAAGATCGCAGATCCAAGTGGCTGAAATGAGCTTCCTCTGCAGGGTGTCTGGGCTCCTGCTTAGATTTATTGCTGCTAAAGAATGGTCTGCAAGCTGCTCAATCATGGTTTGGTTTTTCACTCATGGTTTTGTAACTTTGTTATTTAGTAAATAATGAGCTGGTGGGATCTGGGTTTTTGTTAACTTCTCAGGCACAATCCTTTTTTTAATATTCTGATTTTCAAAAGCCTAGGAAATAAAAGACAGTGGCCATCTCCCCACATCCACTATCTTCAAATTACTGTACACCTTTTCATTATTGAATACTCATAATGAAAGTGAATCTGTGCTTAATCAGCTCAAACTCTCTAGAGAATGAAAAAAGGCTCACTCAGATCTGCCACACCAGCGCTAAAACATTTCATTTGCACAAAATTACACTAGACAGAACAATGTGTGGCTCAGTTTCAAATATTACAGAGCAGCTTAGGCAGCAATCAGAAAATAGGTTTAGCTAATTTTGATTTCAGAGTCAAACTTTCAAAGCATCAAAATGCACACTGCAATGTAAACAGCATCTTGATTTATAGAGTCAGAGCAAAGACAAACAAAATGATTATTAGAAACAAGACTCCCAGCTGCTACTAAATCCATTCATCTAATATCTGTAAAACCGATTGTTATGTAATTATCTGTACTGCCATCTTGAATTTGGGGTCGTGCAATATTTTGCTAAAAGACTCACAGGGTTGACTCCAACGGTTAATGCATAAGTTTTAAACATGAATGTTGTGCAGTGTAAACTCACCTGGAACACATGTTATCTCACAGCTATAATCACACCAAATTCTCGCACAATAATGAAACTGACTGAATTATAGTTATTTTGTCAATTAGCAGCCATTTTGAATATACTGAATCTATACATTTAATACTTTGTCCTAGAATAATAATGAAAAAAATGTTTTTGTTCATGAGCTATTTTGCTAATGGACGCAATTGACTTCAAATAGTTATTAATTCTTTTAAACAAAGATTATGTGCTATCTGTTCGTGCTCAGAACAAGTGTTGTGGATCAGTCTCATCTACAACACCAAATGTTGGGTAATTTTCTGTTAAATAAACCATTTTAGTATATATGTATTTTTTTCTAGGTTGGCTGTGAAAGGCACCTTGAATCTGTTTGACACCAAAAATGTATTATCTTTTAAATGACATAATTTAAACAATTATTATCTGTGTGTTTTCACCATTCAGTGGTTAATGAAGTACTTTGCTAACTGATAGACAGATTACCACCAATAAATAAATAAATATAACATTTTATCATTTGTTTTGTGGCAGCAGGGCAATGTTAAGAATAAAAAGCAGGATATCAGTTCCTCATGTTCCCCTAAGCAGGATATAAAATCACAAAACAGCCTGCTCTATAGTGTCAAAACAAATGTTCTTGCTGCACATCAAATTTTTTTGATTATTTGCAAAAAACACTCAGGTTCTCATTATCTCTTGCCAGTAATGACTACAGCAAAAAGTCAAGTGATAATAGCTAACATTTGAACCCAAGAGTAAACATTATGCATTTGACTCATATAGTCTCTTACCTGAATAGTGAGGATGTGTTTTCGATCCTATAAACAAAAAAGCATCTGCAGTTTTGGGTAAATAAGGAGCACTTCAAGTCATCACAGTGTGTTGTACAACCCAGTATCTTTTCATTTCTGCCTCAGCCAACTTGCCTGCCATTCATCTCTCATCATTACAGCAGAGTGGGCTGAAATCCGATTGGATGGCAGCATAATCCTGACACAGTTGGGGAAAATATTAAATGCAGAGAAAACTAAAGGATTACACCATCTGGCTGCATCGACCAACTCTTGTGCACGTCTGTCTGCTTGCATGCTTTTTTTTTTTATTTGTTTTTGATTTTCATTCAGGAGTGCCTGCCTGGATTAGGTTCAGTCACATCTGTTTTCCATGCAGCCTCTGACACCTGCATCTGCAGCTTGTTTATTAACTGAAGGTGTTGCTGAATCAGGCTAGAAGATGTTTAGAAAGTTCTGCTGCTGTCACAACATCAAAGGGACATGAATATATGCTGTGTTTATTCAATAATCTTTATTATACACGTATGTAAGTAATGACGTGGAATTTTTAACTTTGAGTGTTAGAAATCACGTTTCATGCTGAGCGCTAAAGACAAATCTTGCAAGAAGTGTTAAAGTGTAGTCTACATGTTAAGCATGAACCTCAATTATCGTTACTTAAATTTGACCTGAATATCTGTCATTTTGAGAAATCGACAGCCATTTTTGTGTTGGCAAAGAAGTTAGGTGTGGGTATTCCTTGATCTGCATGATGCTGTTTGATCTTTAAATACTCAGAGAGCTTCACAGAACAGCTGGATTTATATTGAGATTAAATTATGCATTAATTATGACTTATGAATGCAGTTGGTTACTCTGGATTTTAGTTTGGGATCTCAGAGTGAAGGGAGCTAAATACAAACACACACCACACTAAAAAAAATTGGACTACTTTGTGTTGCTCTATCACCCACAGTTTCAGTAAAGTATTTTAAAATTTGTGTTTGTAACATGAAAAAACATGAAAAAACAATAAGATTAAAAAAATGTTAAGGGGTTTGAATTCATTTTCAAAGCACAATATTTTCAATATGACAACAAATTTAGGAATAGGCCTTCTGTAGACGACAGCAAGGGTGTAACCTAAGGTCTACCATTGGGGGATAGAGATTAAATTTCTCAGTTTTCACGGCGCACTACAATTTGGCAAGGAAAAAGTTCAACACAATTCAACAAATACAGCCATAATGTGAAAACAGCAGATAAAAACCCTGCATGTCATTTTCAGCAATTATACTCAAATGTACATATATGACATTGTATTTTTACAAAATCAGGTCAAAGTTACCTAAGGACAACAAGAGAGTTGCAACTGTGAACTTAACCAGTTCATTTCTATTGTGTTAGAGCAAATGATTGGACTGGATCAAATTACTGTAGGGGTAATAACCCTACAAGTAGATTTTTGCCACATGTACAATATAATGTTGTTAAATGCAAAGAATGGACTATTGAGCTTCAACTGAGTATTTACTTCACTTTCATACCTGTCCTGTGTATTTGTGTTTATGCAAAAATGAGTTTACTCCACATAAAGTTGTGATGTACAGCATACGTACACAGACACGAGACATTTATCATGATACAAGTTTGTTAAATGCATGTATATAAATTCTGCCTGTGTGTCTCTGTGTGTGT